AGGCACTACGCCCACCAACGACTCGAGCTTGTACAGTCTGACCTTCCCCACGGCAGACGGGAACTTGGCAATGCGCCAGAATGCGTTGGACGAGTGGGGCCCCAAATTTGCCCGCCTGAAGTCTGACTATGAGGAAGCGATTGCAAGCCACAACAAACTCTTCAATTCCTCAGGCTGCCCTTACAAAGCTGACGGGCGCAAGAGAGCTGGAGAGGCCATTGGAGACGACGTGGAGGAAGGTGAGCCCTTCCTGGACGATTGCGTTGTGGAGTCCCTGGAAGAATTGCGCAAGGCGCATGGCAACCTGTCCACTGTCCACAGCAGCCAACCAGAGCTTTTCAATCTGATTTTTACTTCCAAGGGGCACCTTTTCCTCCATGCTCTCGAGGACGGCGTGGCCTCTGCAAAGGTCCCTTTGTTTCAGACCTTCGGAGAATTCCACACCGGGGACGCAGACATTGCCAAGGTGCAAAAGCGCAAAGGGCACTTGTGCCATTGGAAGATGGATGCGGCGGACTTCGAGGCGATTTGGTCCCATCTGGGACCCGGCGTTCCAGAGGCGCCCTGCCACTTTTCAGAAGTTTGCGGACTACCTCGCAGACCACAACGTCGTCACCTTCTCCGTGGCATGCCATGAAGTCAGCCTAGAAGGCTCGGACGGGATCAAGGTCAAGAGCGTGGAAGATTGCGCATTTGAGGCCAAGAAGTTGCCTGCCCGCGCCGTTGCCGACTTGACCAACTGCGGCAGCTTGTTGACGTTTGCTGTTGTGGATTGGGAGAAGGGCCAGACAACCAACGGAGCATTAAAGCTCGTGATGAGCTTCAGCTATGAGGACTCAAGCCAGCAAAAGGGCGTTTTCCCGGCAAAGCCTTGCTGGATGCTGGCGAAGCCGAAGCGCGTCCTCAAGGACAAGTGCTTTTTGGTGTGTGGCCCAGGCAAGCCCTAATCCACTGCGCACTGTCCTCAGTCCATGAGGTTTGCGTGTGGCCTGGCCACAGCAGCCTGCATTTGCACGGCGTGCGAAGCGACGTGCCGGTTTTGACAGACCATTACGAGCCGTGTGAGCAAGATGTAAAAGTGGCAGGCAGCACAGGCGCAAGCATGCAGGCTTACACGCACACATTGTTGCATGCCGCAGCAGGGCGTCACAGCATATGCTGTCAACGTTTGCACTCAAGCCCTGTCCCCGACTTTCAGTGCACGGTTCCCGGTTCCTTGCCCTGTGTCATGGCCGGCTTCCTAGCATGCTTCGCTGATGATGAAGAAGATCGCTTGTGGGACTTTGCCAGCACGCCACTACTTTCTGACGCAAAGGCAGCAAGTTCGCCAGCGCCTGCGAAGGCTCCAAGTGTTGGCGCGCCTGTGGCTTCTTTGTCCGCGTGCTCGCAGCCAACGCCAAAGTCAGCAGCCACAAAGGCCGCCATCAACAGGTGTCTCAAGCAAGAGGGCGCGCACTCAGCGCCTGACAAAATGAGAGGCGCTGACAAGGCCAAGCGGGCTGCAAGGGGCACCAAGGACACCTTTGCTGGCCGCCGGCCGCCGTTGGATGAGTCCAAGCTGGCAATCTACAAGAAAATGAAGGAGGACTACGAGACGCTCCGGAAGAACTTAAAGGCTTCAAGCATGAAGGGTGGCAAGCAAAAGACCTGGTCGCAAGAGCTGTACTGGAAGTACATGCAGAAGTGCATGTCTGAGGGCGACGGGCCACCAGCGCAGCGATTTGCAGCTGGCGCCAAATCATTTCGTCAGTCCTTTGGGGTGTGAAGAGTTGTTAGGCTCTTGTTTAACTGGGGGATTGCAGCGTGATGGCTGTCCACTGTGCTTTGTCCACCGTGGATGTTTACCATGTGCCATCCATTCACTGCAACTTGGGGGGGGGTTGTCAGGGCAGGTTCTTGGGCAGTGTCAACAGACATTGCCCTTGCCATTGCCTGCAAGCACCTAAAAGCAGCCATTGTAGCAAAATGCCAAGTCGTTTGTTGCAATGCGCTTGCCCGTCAGTTTGGCAGTGTTCGCAAGTTGCTCACTTCTGCCGCTGCTTGCAAGCTGGCTCCAGTGACTTGCTAGAGTTTGCAGCGGGCTGGCGCCAAGTGACTAATGGCGATCCCTTCGAGCTTGACGAAAATGCAAGTGTTTGGTCTCACGTTGGTCATGGCGTTGGAGATGTGCCCTGTCCACCGTCCACTGTCCGTTGTGGAGCTGTGGTGCGGGGTAGCGTCTATCGCTGGCGCTGCTCAAAAGGCTGGCCAGGCAAGCGTGGCCATGGACAAGAATCGTGTCCCCGGAGTCACGAACACCGACGGGCCGGACTCGGAGAACATTTTGTCCAAGCACGGCTTCATGCGGGCCTTGCAAGCAGTGCTTGAAATCAAGGAGGGTGGCCTACTCTGGATGGCGCCAGTGTGCAGCAGTTGGGTGTTCATGAATAGCGCCAACTGCCGAAGAACTGTGAAAAACCCTGCAGGTAGGGCGGGCTACGAGCCTGTGAAGCAAGGAAACCACATGGCGTCTATCGCTGCTTTCCTTTATGCCGTCGCCATGTTGCGGAAGGTGCGGCCTGTCATCGAACAGCCAGCAGGAAGCATCATGTTCCGCTTCAAGCCCATCGAGACGGTGTTTAATGCGTTCGGGCATTGCGTAGCGACTTGCGCCCGGTGCGCGTTTCAGATTGAAGCCCCTTTCGGGGCCAGGTTTTTGAAGCGGTACAAGTTTGCTGGCGAGTCTTGGGTGCAGAGCCTGCACCAGAAGTGCGAATGCCCAAACGGAGACCACAAAGCTTTGGTGAAGGTTGACGAGAAGAGCAGCAAGACCACTGTTAGTGGAGACCAAGCCCTTCTGAAGGAAAGCCAGTCCTACCCACCTTTGATGGGCAAGTGGGTTGTGGACAAGTGGCTGGAACAGCGCAAGGGCCAAGGCAGTCCACTGTTGCACGGTCCACCGTCCACTGTTTCCCAGCCAAGCCGCGGGACCGCAGCATCACCGTCATGGAAGCGGCCTCCAACGAGTTCCACTTGGAAGACCCCGCCTGCTGGGAATTCAAAGCGTCAGAAGCTGCAAAATTCGAATTGGAAGCGCCCCATGGTAAGCTTGGAGCCGGGCTCTAGCAGCTGGAAGCGCTGCACCAATTAAATCGTCTCAGCTTGCTGTGTGTGACCGCGTGCAAAAGGCAGGTGCGCAGGGCTCAAAGCTGACTGAAGGTGGCAATTGACCGGAGGTGGCGTCGGTCAATTCTCACCATTTTTGGTCTACGGGGGCCTGTTTTCATTTTGTGTCACGCGTGGCTGTTCCTTGTGTCTTATGGATTCCGGCATTTGTCGGCTCCGCTGGGCAAATCCTGCAAGCCATGACGTCTTGACGTCTTGCCCAGCTTTTCGACGCTTGCAGGCTGTCATTTCTCCTATAGCAGGGCCCGTGCGCCCAATGTTTTGCAGGGCCAATGGGCATTTTCAAGTTTCCGTGGGCACTCCCTTGCTGATCAGCGCTCAGTCATGAACCTTGCGCACGCGCTGTCCGCTGTGTAATGTCCAGTTTCTGGCATTATGTGAGCGCACCGCTTGTAGCATTTTGGCTCCGGCCCTGTGCACTGGACCCTGTCCTCTGTTCTTTGACTGTCATGGCCGGGTTGGTGGTGCCTTTGATGAGGAACATTTGGTTTTCGGAAATCCTTGGCGAGGGTGACCTGGGCCAGATCGACACCATCGTTGACACGCAAGACATTCAGCCGCGGCCGCGTCTTGTCAGAACATGAACCATGCTTGAACATGCTGATTACGTAAGTGTCCCTCAGCTGAGCTTACGCTTTGAGCGCAAGGTACGAGCCCTTTACCATGCACGCTGCCTTGGCGGAGTGGATGCGCTGTAGCTTGTGCACCCTGGACCCTGTCTTCACCTTCCACGGGAAGATGACGTACGTCATGCGTGATGCTGTGCGCAAGATTGAGGGCAACCGGGTGACGGCAATCTATGTAATCTTGTGGGACTGCGAAGCAGAAGGAACCCGCATGGCAGTTCTTACTCCAGAGAACGCCCCAGAATCTGCGTAGGTGAGCACAGTCAGTCAAAGTTTTGAGGGCTGTGAGCGGGAAACTCGTGTTCCTGGTAGCAGTCCACTGTGCTCTGTGCGCTGTGTGTGGATGGCTGGGGCTTTTTAAACAGTCGACGGAGCAACGCCCTGGATTAGAATGCCACATGCAGAGCAGTGACTGATTGCTGTGAAGTGGAAAAAGCCGCTGTCCCCTGACTAGGGTTGATAGACAAAAGCATTTGCGCGCTTTGCGAGCACACGCAGGACATGGAACATGCGTGCGTTCTTGTGACCCGACCCTTTGCAGGCAGCTGTGCTGGCTTTCCTCATCTTTGTCATCCCACTGTCCACTGTCCTTTGTCCAATGTCCACTGTCCGTTGTTCATACCCACTGGCCTGCGCTGGCGTGCAATTATGTGTTCGGACGCCCTGGCCTTCTACTGTGGATTCAAATTTGCATTGCCCAGTGGCGTGGGCACTTACAGGTATGCGGCGCGGCTATCGCTTTAAAACTTTGAGTTTTGCTTCCGCCTTTTTTTTTGCCAGGGCTGCTGAGCGCTAACTATTGCTGCCCTCTCGAACTCAATTATACGCCTTGCAATACATACATATATCAAGGCGTGAGGTGTGTAGGTTATGCGTTTACACAGAACTATACGCCTGACAAGATACTTTTGCCTGCGCGTTTGCTTCGCCGAGTTCTTCTGTCAAAAGCATGCAGCTAGCCACCAAAAATGAAAATGTCAGAAGGTTAGTTACCAACGAACGGAAGGTTAGTTGCAATGAACAGAGGTTAAATTGCCCCCTTTGTTTCTGCCTTTGACCCATAAAAAAAAAGTGTGCTTTTGACCACAACAAAGGTGCATTTTGCCCATAAAAAAGGGTGTGTTTACAGGCGAAAAGCCAGGGGGGGTCCTTTAAGGGTGCAGGTGGGCTCACTTCCCTTGCGGTTTTCGGCCCATCCCTTGTCGCCAGACTGCGGCGGGAGTTGAAGCGCAAAGCCTGCGCCATGGGGGAGCACTGCTGCTTGCCCCAGCGTCGGCCTCAGATTGCCCCCGGTGTTGGGCCCCACGTTGGTGTCGAAGACTGGTGGATCGACACGACCATTTTGGAGGTGGTTCCCGACTTGGGTGTTACTCAGTTGTTCAGTGGCAATGGGTCCATGACCCCTTTGCTTTGGGTAATGACCCCATTTTTAAAGGATCATGGAGGCAGCAGAAGTGGAATCACTAAGGGTTCTTTAAGAGACGCGCCCTTTTGGGGGATACCAGATGAACAATCTCCCAGTCAGATGGTAGGGAATGCATTTGTGTGAATCGGTCGATTCGGAGTTGAATCTCTAAAGTTGGAATCGGGAATCGCGGGTCATGATTGGAAACCCAAGAAAAAAGGTTTTGCAGGGGGTTAACGCAGGGGGTTAATGCAGGGGGTTTAACTGCGTAACTGGGGGCAAATCTAGAGCCCCAGTGGGGTGCAACGCTCCCTTGCAACTGAGGGTAAAGGTTGGTTTGGTTTAGTACGTGTGTGGGTGTGTGTGTGTGTGGTTGCTGTATACTTGTTTCTCTCAGCGGCGGCAGCTTTTTTTGGCTCGGGGAGGTGAGGAACACACGCCGCAACTTGTAGGAACGCCAAACCTTAGGTTCCGCTTCGTGCTTGGCGTCCGAACCTGGGGAAAAGTCAGGTAAGTTGCAACCGTGGTTATATTTGGAGCAACTGTGGTCATATCCTACTTACTAAGGCGGTTGAACACCCAACTAAGGGCGGTTACAACTGGGGTTATGGTTATGAACTACTTACTAAGTGGGCTGAACCCTTATCCAAGGGCCTTCCTGAAGAAAGGGCCGCAATTGGAAAGGCGAGCCTTTTGTTTGGCAATGGAGGTAGCTGGTGGGTTGGATTGGTGGTTTGGATTCGGATTTGAACCCCTGGCTTTGGTAGAGGGTAGGTGGGAAAACCAGGATCCTACAAACCACCGGGATCCAAACCACCAATCAGAGGGAACTGTTGGCGTGCCTTGATCCAAGTTAGTAATTGGTTAGCCACTTGGCGAAGGACACAACAGTGGGTTGTAATCGAACAGTTCCCATGACAACTTACCAACTTGGCGAATCCAACACCCAAGTGAGACACCCATTTGGATGGTGCTCACTAGGCAATGACCCAGCGTGTTGGGAATGAGCCGGTGGATTCCCTCAAAGGAAGCCATAAAAGGAGGGTTCATAGGTGTAGGACTGGCCCGGCCCGTGTGCAACTTCTGCCCTTCGAAGGGCGCCGATTCAACCTCAAGCACCTCACGCGACCGAATTCAGCCCAAATGGTTTTGTTTATGTGGCGAGCCACCCAACCAGCGCAAATTTCAGGCTTGTGAAAAATAGTATGATTCACCCAGATTATTGTTCTTTCCCGTTGGAATCCACCGGATGTGCTTTGTCTTGGGTCATTCATTGGCGGTCTTCGGGTACCAAAGCCAGCAGCTCAAAGTCGTTCCCCTTCATCTGCCAATCTCTTTAGGGCGTGACTCTATAGTGATAAACTTCCATTTGCTTAAGAATATTTCATGTTTTCCCTTGTTGGTTTTAAAGGGAATCTATCACTACTGGACATATATTCTTGTCTTTTCCAGGGGGCTTAAGCAAATGGAATTAAACAACAAAACCAAAACACGGACCTGTGACGTGGCGATCTGTTTGCCGGAGGTGTGCGTACTTCCACCCCCGTGAGGGAGAAGAAGATCAATCAGGACAAATCGAGCTGCCATCCTGCCGCCCTGCCATGGTTTAAGCTGAAGGTCTGAGTGGAGTCCGGCCCTAAGGCTCCCGATGGTTTTCGGGCCTCAAAATGGGCTGTTGTTGAGGGCCTTTGAGGGGGCCGTGTTCTTCAGCCTTAGGGAGGCTGGTTTGGTTCAAGGCGTGATGGAACACTTCAATAGGTACCCCACTCGAACTCGAAACCCGAACCCGACCCAAAAGAAAGAAACTTGAAGTCGAAGCCGAACCCGAACCCGAACCTCCCCCGGACCTCCCCCCCCCCAAAAAAAAAGAAGGGAGCTCTGCCCGAACCCGAAACCAAACCCGACCCCGGACCCGAACCCGAACCTCCCCCCCCCGCCCGCCCGAGCACTCCCGGCCCAGAACCCGAAACCCGAACCGGAACCCGAACCTGAACGCCCCCCCCCTCCCCCCCAAGCGGACACGACACGCCCCAAACCCGAACCCGAACCCTCCCCGCCCGCTTCGGCGGCTTGGAATCGTGGTTGGCTTCCCGGGCCGCAGTTCAGACACCGATTGCACCGTCGGCCCCGATCGGTGCCCGATTGCGCTGGCTGTGCCTTAACAGCAAAGCAAAACCGGAGCTGCGCTATGATTGGTGGGCGGTTTGCTCTCCGTGCCCCGGTCGGGCACCGATCGCACTGTCGGGCGCGATCGATTGCGCTAGGCCCCGATCAGGGCCCGCTGGCACTGTCTGGGCCCCGGTCGGGCACCGTCGGCTGAACCTTACGCTATGATTGGTGGCTTGGATCGGCTGCGGTCGGGCCCGAGCACAAAAAGAGCGCCGCATGCTCTTGGAGATATCCGCTGAGCTTATTTCGTTCAGAATCAGTGTTTCTCATTGTTGGGCTTTCCGAGGTGGGCGTTGGCTTGATTCGTTTGGCAACTGTGTCGGACTTGATGCGTTTGATGCTGTCTTCTCCTCTTGTGTGGACCCCTCTTGACCCTCCCTGAGCAAACAAAGCTTCGAGCTCACACCCGCCAAAAACACCAGATATCGACAGATAGATAGATAGATAGACAGAAACAGAGAGAGAAGCAGATAGATAGAGAGGATAGATGGAAAGACAGATTAGATAGAAAGTAGATGGTTGGAAAGAGAGAGAGAGAGAGAGAGAGAGAGAGAGAGACAGATTGATGTAGATAGACAGACAGATTGACAGATAGGATTACAAGAGCGGCAGATAGAGAGATAAAGAGAGGGAAAGGGAGTATAAAACAAGAGCTAAAGAGATAGAGAGAGAGAGATAGATAAATAGATAACGATAGACACGTAGACAGACGGATGGATGGATAGATAGGGAGATGGACAGATAGATAGATAGACGGATCGGCAGGTAGATAGATAGGCAGAGAAAGATAGACATATTGAAGAAGCAAAAGAAAAAACAGCGCAGCAACACACAAAATAAAGAAAGAAAGAAAAGAAAGAAAGGCAGAAAGAAGGGAGGAAGGAAGGAAACAAAGAAAGAAAGGAAGAAAGGAAAATCCGACAGAGACAAACAGAAACAGCGAAAAGGAAGAAGAAAAAGAAAACAGAGTCAAGAAAAGAAAGAGAAAGATAACTATAGAGTGTTTGTATATTTGATTCTTCCGGCCTCCGGCTTCGCCGACCCTACTGGTAATGATCACCATGATGACAATAACTATCTTCGTAGCATTCCCTGCATCCCCAGCCGCGCGGATGATGACGGTCATTGGCATCATATCATCATCCGCGTCCGGGGTCGGCAGCTGTCTTTGCATGTAGACCAGTTTGTTGCCAGGTTTTGTTTGGCTCAGCTGTTCAAACGTCGGACTGGGCCGGGGCAGTCAACTCGAAGTTGACTAGGAGAGGGGTTGTTACAGCAACCAAGTTTAGGATATATTGTTTTGGCTTGGGGGATTACATCTAGACATGCTAGTCTGTGACTTGGCAATCTGAAAGGAAACCAGCAGTTGGATGGTTAAAAAAAAGGGCCATTCCATTTCTCTTCTCCTGCCTATCGCAGCAGCAAGTTGAGACAATCACTGAGGGCCCTTCTGAAAGTAACACCACCCAGAAAAGTTTGGAGCGCAAGAAGCTTCAGCATGCTTATTCCTGAAACAATCAAGCATTCCTAGTGCGGTCAACAACTTCAGCATGCTGGACGCTGGATTCTCTGGCTTTTGAGGGCAGCGGTGGGGCGGAAGAACTTTGCCTCGTCGTATGCACGCCAAACAATTCTAAAACTCAAGGATGGCTGCGTGGCGAGGAAAACGCTATAAAATCATACAGCGTTTGCGAATGTATGCTCCGAGAAGCAACATCATTGCAAGGAGTCGTTGCAAGGAGTCATTGCAAGGAGTCATTGCAAGGAGTCATTGCAAGGAGTCATTGCAAGGAGTCATTGCAAGGAGTCATTGCAAGGAGTCATTGCAAGGAGTCATTGCAAGGAGTCATTGCAAGGAGTCATTCCAAGGAGTCATTCCAAGGAGTCATTGCAAGGAGTCATGAGAGTCATTGCAAGTTGCAAGGAGCCAAGCGCATGGAGTCAAGTGCAAGTTGCAAGTGCACGGAGTCAAGTACAAGTTGCAAGTGCAAGGAGTCAAGTGCAAGCTGCAAGTCCATGGAGTCAAGTGCAACTTGCAAGTGCGTGGAGCCAAGTGCAAGTTGCAAGTGCAAGGAGTCAAGTGCAAGTTGCAAGTGCAAGGAGTCAAGTGCAATTGACTTGCGAGGAGTTAGAATCTCTTCTGAGGGCGGCGGGGTAGTGCCGACGACACTCTACGAAAATCGATCCTCTGCGGGGATTGGCGTGGTCGAGGTGCAAAGACTCGAGGTTTTTTGCGATTTTGTTTTGGCTCGCGCGACCCTTTGCGGGGATCGGCGTCGAGGTGCAAAAACTCGAGGTTTTTTGCGATTTTGTTTTGGCTCACGCGACCCTCTGCGGGGATCGGCGTGGTCAAGGTGCAAAAACTCGAGGTTTTTTGCGATTTTGTTTTGGCTTGCGCGACCCTCTACGAGGATCGGCGTGGTCGAGGTGCAGAAACTCGAGGTTTTTTGCGACTTGTGTTGCGCGAACTGGTCCTGGGGAGTTGTCTCGTGGTTTGCGCGGCTGCTCCCGGGACCCGCGGGTCGCGGGTTCGATTCGCGGGCGGGCTTCGCAAGCTGCACGGAGCAACTTGCGCAGAGCAACTTGCGCAGAGCAACTTGCGCAGACCAACGCAGAGCAACTTGCGCAGAGCAAC